AGTAACGCTAGGACAGAAAAATCATTCGTGATCTTGTTTGTATTCTGTTACCTTCCTACCAAATAGGGATAATGTAAGCTATTGAAGGTTTATGTGAGGCCTGGGGAGATGGTTCAGTTGGCAAGAGCTTGCTGAACAAGCATGTGGATCTGAGTTTGATACCTAGAACTCTGGGAGTAAAGGGTGGGTGGATGTAGTGTCTGCCTGTCTTCTCCCAGCACTGGGATTACAACCATGCACCACCATGTTGGGGTGTGTGTGTGTGTGTGTGTGTGTGTGTGTGTAGACTGCTGGGAGTGAACTCAGGTCCTGATGCTTGCACAGCAATCTCTATTCTGACTGAGTCATTTCTCTAGTCTGCGGATTTTTGATTTGTTTGGATTTTTACAGGGTCAGCAAATGTCCAAAAGTGACTTCAGCAATTGCATTAATGGTGACCAGTTGGTGTCATAAATGAATAGTGTGTTGACGTGTTTCATTTATTGGGTGCTTTTTTACATCTTTAAAAAGCACCTTTGAATACATCTTCTTCTCAAAAACCAGCTCTGCAGAGATTACCAGCCCGTTTTGAAGATGAGGCCAAGGAAGCTCAGGTCAGTTAGCTAGACGGTAAGCCTTGCAGATAAGAGCCACTTTCTTTCCCTCCTGTCCTGTTTCATCCTCCTTCAGGAGACGGAGATGTATAGATGCTGCTATGCTGTTGCATTTACAAGACCATAAGGGAACCCCTTGGGACCCCTGAGCAACATGGAGTGTGTCATCAGGAGTATCATTCAGCGGCCAGGGTTGGAAATCCCCATGCTCTGCAGACCGACAGCCAATACTGTTCGTTCCCTGAGAAGTTCTGACTGCGGGTCCCCTGGTAGGGTATGACAAACCTCAGGCCCACGTTTTCAGACAACTGTTGTGGCCACAGAAGTTCCCCAAGATAGTTGGTAAATCCTTGTCGAGTCTGTTTTGATGCTGTGTGGGCAGCTGGGTTTCACCAGGAGGGCACCGAAAGTGCCAGCCTCAGACAGTCCAGATCCAGAGCCAGGGGATCCCCACGTCTTCCTCCCCTCCCTCCTGCTTGGCTTCATAGCTCCCTCTCCGTGACTTGTGAGATCTGATAAAATGCTGACATTTATACATGCTGTTTCAGTCGGAAGCTTTGCCAAGATCTTTGAGATGTGTTCTTTTTAACTGTATGCAACCCTGCTTTCCAAACTTCAGCCAGATCCTATTCAAAGGGGGAATCCAAAGTGGATCCTCGAGGTTCTGAAAATACAGCTCAGACAGGCAGCGGCATCCCCAGTGGGATCATTTGCTTTCCCCAGTGATCTCTGCAACTAATCCTGAGAAATAAAGCAAGATTACAGTTCAAGAAAACTGGATGGGAGAAAATAAATGTCTATTTTTTATTGATCAATGAGTCCCTGTTTTCCAAAGAAATTACTGACCCTTATTGGTTTCATGAGCTTAAAAAAAAAAAAAAAGGAAGAGGAAGAGGAAGAGGAAGAGGATTGTGTCCAGTTGGTAAAGGGCTATGCACACAAGCATTTGGAGCTGGGTCCAATATGCCAACACTCACACTAAAAGAAAAAATCTGGGGTTGTGACGTACACATGCCTGTAGTCCCAGCGCTGTAGAGCTGTGGTCAGGAGGAGCCTGGAGCCTTGGCCAGTGAGTCAATCCAAACCTAAACCAGCAGCTCCAAGTTCAGCGAAATACCGTTTAAAAAAAAATAAGGTGGAGAGTGATTGAGACACCTGATGTCAACTTTTGGCCTCCACCTACTTGTATGCTCATGTGCACACATACGAACATGTGTACACCCATACATGCACAAAAGCAAGGAAGGAAGGATGAGGAGTTCCTCATGGGAGCACATGTATGCTCATGTGCACACATACGAACATGTGTACACCCATACATGCACAAAAGCAAGGAAGGAAGGATGAGAGAAAGAAACCAAAGAGAAAGGAAGGAGGGAGGGAGAGAGGGAAGAGCTGCGTCCCTTTGTGTGTAGACTGCTGGCAGCGAGCCTCGGAGCCATGACCCGGGAAGCCTAGCCAGATGGCTTCATAAGCACATTCCCTGGGAGCACGGGTTTGGATGTTCCATGATGACATGAAGAGCACAGGCCTGAAGCTGGGATATCTCTTTAAAGATGAGGACCAGCTATGGGGAAGTCACGCATTTGACTCCGTGTGTAAGAAAGGTCACATGCAGAGACTCTTGTATCGGGCTGTTAGCCCCCACAGAAGACCTCACAACATACATTTCAAGCACCCACGGAACTCAGATAGATACATCCTGTTTTCTTTTTTCCAGCCTTTCAAAAGTGGTATTCAATACTTGAGAAAAACCTCAAAGCTTTAAGCTGGTACCAGCCAGCCCAATTTAAGGTCAGGTTTTGCATAGAAGATTCAGACAGGAAACAGACTGGCGTCAAAGCAGCCAGGAGGGTAGTGAAACAATACCACCCTGTCCACAGGCCGCACGCTGCGATGTGCTATGTCATCTGCTGGTGACTTGGTTTTCTCTTAGTAGTTTCATTTGTGAAAGTGACTGCTTTAGCGCGGCCCCAGTGACAGCTGTAATCCCTCGGAATGAGACATCTCGCTTTGTAACCGGGGTCCATTCTCGGTTAGGACCGAGCTGTGGGGGGCATGAGTAGATATTGCAACTTGTAGTTAAAATAGAGTACAGTCTCTTCTCTCCGTGTGTGTGTGTGTGTGTGTGTGTGTGTGTGTGTGTGTGTGTGTGTGTGTGTG